ACTGGCTTCCCTGAAACATGAGGCAGTTAAGAGGCTTTTACAAGCCATCGATTTTCCATGCCACTGGCAATTTCAAAACCATCCCTTTGGATCAAATGACTCGTGCTATTCGATACCAAATGGTCTGTTCATAGCTGGAGCCTTTTAGTTTTTATTTCGCTCAAATAGAAAGCTGCTTCTAAACATAGACCTGCATTGCAAAGTTGAAAGCTTTTATTCTGAACTATCACATCCCCGTATTTTAATCTAGGATGACAATGGATTGCTTGACAGAACCAATGTAGCACAAATAGGATGAATATATCAAACATATTTTAACCAAAAGAGATTTGGCCCATTTTTTACATTTTGCTCCATTAATGATCTTTGCCAACCACTTTGCCATTTGCAATGAAATGGTTCAGCAATGATGCTGCTGTTCCTTTACTTCATCAAACAGAAGCAGATTTTTGCAGAAGCACTTTTTAATTTCTGCATGCAGCTGCATATCTGTCAGAGTCCAAGAACCCAGCTCAGGGGCCTCTCTGCTCTTTGAAATTTCTTATTCAGCCTGGAGGCACTTTTACAAGTTTGCTTTCCCTGGGCTTTAGTGCAGAGCAGCTGTGAGGCTCTGGGACCTGACCAGGCTCCTGGAGGAGGAGGAAGCTTCTGTGAGATGTTCCTGAGCACATAATGACTCCAGGAGTCAGTCACCCAGCTGACAAATCCCAAAAAATCTAATTCATGAGCAAACCAGAGGAGTCAACTTCCAAATACAGTTGCAACAGGGAAGGCAGACAAACAGGAAACAATCCCTGTGGTTTTTCCCATTGCTGGGCACAGAAGTGTCTTGCTGCTGATACTGTGGGGCTCCAAGGAAAGGTGGGCACAGGAGGGCAGAGTAGTGAGGGGCTGAGCCCAGCCAGCAGTGATGCCAGCAGCCACAGCACTTGGGGACAGCTCAGAGCTTTGCCAGGGCACCCTCCCAGGGCTTGCTGGTGAGCCAGGGTTGGTCTGGTTTCAGTTACATCTTCTTCCATGAGCCTGTCATCACTTCATGATGGAGTCTTTTGCAACAGAACCCCATTTACAGAATTGTCAGTAGGTTGCAAATTGCCTGCCTGTTCCTGCCCTGACCTCCAGGCCATAAGGCTCTGGTCCAGCATGTGCAGGGATTTGTCCCTGTCTGTCCCACAGCTTGCAGTCGGTAAGGTCGGTACAAGCCAAGGTCTGAGCATGTGGCCTTTATGCAGACGTGTGCCCTGAGCCACTGATGTCTCTCCCACACATGGACTTTGCTGGAATGGGGTGTGGATCCTCTCCAGTGTGCCCTCAGCTGAGCTCCTCCAGGACCAGCTTGAGGTTTGCACTCACTCTGGCAGGGGGAGAAACACAAGCATCAGGTACCAGAACAAGGAGAGGAAGAGAGAAGCACCTGTAGTTTGCAAAGGGAGTTGTTTTGGACAGGAGGGTGGCCAGAGGAGGCTGGAACAGCAGGCACTGTTCAGCACCAACCTGCACTCACTGGTCCCTCCCGGTGCTCCAGCACCAATGGTTCTATTGTGGAGCCCTATTGTTGCAAATCCCAACTAAGTATTTTTTCCAACCCAATTTTCTCAGGAATTGACCCAATTGTTGCACTCAGGAACTGGCATTCACCCTGCTGGCAAATGGTTCCCATTTGTTTCAAATGGTCTGCCCAGGATGACCTTTTCTGCTTAAATAGCTTACACAACAAGAATACATGAATGTTAAATTCTAATCTTGCAAAACTCTGAAAGCAGGGCCATTTACCAGCAGCAAGGGACTTTCCCCCCCATCCTTTTCAGAAAGCAAAAAGGAAAAAAACAACCAGCACTATGCAATTTCAGTGAAGGGAGAATTCACTCACAACCCCCTTACCCTTACACAATAATGTCTTGTGTTTTCACTTGTGCTGCCATACCTCTCCGAGATGCTTGTTCCAAATCCTAGCCATAGGTTGCTCCCTGTCTTTGTCTTGTATAAAGTTTGGCCCTTTCACTTTCAGCTGTGTCTGCAGAGCATTGGTGGTGGTCTGTGTAGCAGCAATTAGCTTAAGAAAAAAAATTACGTGTGAAAAAGGTCATGTTTCCTGCAGGGCAATGCAGGAAAGGAGAGATGAAGTAGATGGTGACAGGCATGGCCATACAAGGCTCATGTGATATGCCCAATCCACAGGAGAGGGGCGAGGGGATGGATAACTCTCTATATTTCCTGCAGAGCCCTGAGAGCCAGAGAGGCTGGACTTGCTCCAGAGCCATGAAGCTCATGGGAAGGCACGGTGGTGGGTCACACCAGGGCTGGCCCTGGGGACCCCCAGCTGGAGCCCTGTGGGCTGAGGCGACGTGTGGGGCCGCGGGGGGATGCGGGGCCGTGGCTCCACTGCCGGGCCCGCCGTGTGTCACCAGGGCACAGAGCCCGCCCTCCTCCTGCCATTTGGTTCTCATTTCAGTGAATCATTTCAATATTTCAAGCACATCTTTGACCTACAGCAGCACAGGGGCAGCAACAGCTGGCACCAGCACTTCATAAAGCCCAGCAGTGACCCTTCAGGTGCCGGCTTAGTAAAACCTCTGACTGTGTGGCAAGGGCAGTAACATTGCAGTGAGGCACCTGATCCCCGAGGAGAACAGAAGAGGCCCTTAAAAAACCTCAAAATGTCTGTGAATTACAAAGTTTTGAGCAGAGCACCCATGAGGCTGCTGAGCAGCTCAGCACTCCAGAGGTAGATGGGCTCCCATGCCTTTGGAGGCCCAGGTAAGAGCTCTTTGATGGTTTTAAATCTTGCAGTGAAAGCCTTTGTTTATTTTGGCTTGCCTTGTGAAACCATATGAATAGATTCAAAGTGACTCTATTAGAAATTAAAAAAAAGCTTCCTCCACCAACATTCACACGCAGCCCTTGGATGCTGCTGTTCACCAGCTCTGGGTTACAGCTGCTCCTTTCCCCAGCTCTGTCAGCAAGCTCCACATCACCGAGTCCTTGGACTGAATTTGGAGACCCTTCTGAGACAGAGACTTATGCATACAGCCAGGTTTGTACTGACACAAGTTTTATGTTGGTTTTGATATGTTAAGATGTAATTCTGGTCATTTCTTCTGACTGGAACTTCTCCATACATTCTCATTTCACACTGAAACAGAAAAATTGCTGTAGTAATAATTGCTGTAACTTATGTAACTTATGTGATAAAACATTTATACTTATGTGATGTAATAATTATAATTATGTACTGGATTTGGGGGATTTTATATTAATTTAAATTGCAATTAGCTGTTAAAATTGTTGTGTATTTTTAGTTGCTACCATGTGTTGCCAGCTAGAATTTCTGGTTAATTTAAAACACACACACACACACACTTGCCAGCACAACCTGTCTCCTCTGGCTCCTGTGAGTCACTTTTCTCAATGTTGGCCCCAGTCCTCAGATTTCTAAAGTTCCCTCTGACTGGAAGTTCTGCCATTCAGCAGAGCCCCATTTCCACATTGACACCCTGTGGTTGCAGGTGCTGACTAAGCAGCTGTGCCAGAGTATGACCTGGGAGTCCACTTATCTTAGCCAAGGTTGTGGAGTCAATGTAAAGTGAGTTTGTAACCTCAATAGATCTCAGAGATGTGGTGCCTGCTCACACAGATGCCAAGTTCTTACACAAGAGGACCTCTAGCAGTGGCCTCAAGCTTTCAGAAAGATTAATATCTATGTCTATAGCTATCTATATACCTATATCTGTATCTATATATTTCTCTCACTCCCCCCCATCTGTCTATACCTGTACCTGTATCTATATGCAAAAAAATTAAAAACCACATGCCTAAAAACCTGTAATGCAATACTTTCTGGCATAGGGAAGCGTGCTGAGCTGGCAGTATCCACAGGCAGTAATTCCTAACCACCTTCAGCATGAAATCTGAGGGAAGGAATAGTCCCTTCCATGGAAAGTCTGCTCCTCTCCCCCTCAGTCCCCATCTCCCCTTCAAAAATTATTATGGTAACTAAGAATTCTCACAAGCATTCCTATCATTCCTACAGGAAAGACAAAGTCTGGTGATAGTTGCATAAGTTATGTCCCTTTATTGGATAAGGCCAGGCTCAGTCATTCTGGCTTTGATCTTTTTTTATGAACATGTCATTGGTCCAAGGCACATCCTGTCGTAGGGGGTCAGTCTCTCAGTTGAATCACTCTTTCTGCAGAAGACACTCAGCAGGCAGCTCGGTGACTGAAGCACAGGCTGACAAAGGGATGTGCTTAGCTAGCCAGAAACTATGTCAGATGAAGCCAAAGCCATCCCTGTGTTGTCATCAGCAAAAGTTGCAAATAAGAGTCCCCTGGGAAATGATTAATCCGACTTGGTAAACGAGTGAAAAGGCGCTTGTTTTCAGTGCTCAGCCTGCAGAGGGAATACCCGAGTTCCGCGGATGTGCTGAAGCCTTTGAACTCCGCTTTGTTTCTCCAGCCTCCTCGCACACGTGCTGCAGGACCAGTCCTCCGGCTCCGGCGGAACCCCGGACCTCCTACCTCCAGATGGCTCCCCAGAGGCTCTACACTCTCTCCGTGATGCTGGTGTGGAGCTGCGTGGTGGCCTCCTCCTCCTCCCACATCCCAGGTAAAACCCAGCGTGCTCTTTGTGTCCCTGCCTAACCCTGCTTCACGTTCACTTGGGCTCTTTACGAAGTTAGTCCTTCAGCCAAAGCTTCTCGTGGGTGTATGTGTGTGTGTTTTAGTGAGTGGCTGATTTATAAACCTGTAATCCATTGTCTAAACATATTTTATGTGTTTAGTGGATATTTTTCTGAGTGAATTTGAAAGGAACAGAAACTGCCTTTGGTACACAGTGAATATATTGTTTGATACAGAGATATCAAATATAAATACTGCTCGGATACATCAAAGCTCCTGAGCCTGGTCCCAGCTGGACAGACTGTGCTAGGTGTAAGAAACACAAGGCTTAATCATACTTAGAGAATAATACTTTCTTCTAAAAAGTGTTTCTATGTAAGCTGTCATCCATGGCAATGGCTCTTCAAGCACCCTTTGCTTCAAGCCCTCTTTGCTGCACTGCACCTGCCAGCCCCAAGTCTTTTGGCCTCTGTTAGCTGGGGCTTTGCACCCAAAAACTTTCTTTCTCCAGAGGGATGGTGAGCAAGTCTGGCCCTCCCTGCCACGCACAGTGCAAGATGCAGAGGTAAAAAACTTGTCCAGGAGGCCACTGAGAGACTCCCTGTCCTGTCAGGCAGCATGGACAGAAACTGCCAGCAAACACGCCACTGCCACGCTGAGCAAAGCACACTGCCTTTAAAATGGGTTTCTGAAGACATGAGACTCACCTGCAGCCTCTGTGAGCAGCACAGAGAATTGCAGACATACAGCAGGGACGTATGGGGGGCACCTGACAGGCTGCAATTTTCCCACTGGCAAAACAGGAGGAAAATTGCAAACCCTCCTGCTGCTTGCACCACCTCAGACAATGGCACGGCGTGGAGCAAAGTGGTGGGAGGCAGCTGGGGATCAGCAGGGGTGTGTCACCAAGACAGTGATGCTGGCAGGAGTGTGCCCAGCAGCCAAGGAGGGGTGGCCATGGGGGCTGACTGTCTTGCCAGCACATCCCTACCTGAGTCACCACCACTGAGAGTCAGGGAGACAAGTTGTTAATTTGTTTTTTCCAAGAAACATTCAGGAGCAGCTTTCCTTCAAGGCTGGATAATGAAACAGAGTGTTTCTAGTCCTCTGTCCTGTCTGAATGATGTGAGTGAGACTGGTAATGTAGTGTATTATTGTGAGAATGAGAAACTGCAAGAGGCAGTGCTGACATTTAAAAAACAATCAGATTCCAGAATGCAAGTCACATTCCAAAAAGAAGCTTTTCTGTTCCCTCTGAAATCCAATCAAAATTTATTTTCCAAGAATTGCTGTTTACAATAGCAATTGTTTAGGGAAAATATGGCTGTTTTGCTCAAGATCAGGAAGTAAATAAATTTCAGAGCATTATCATTTCCAGTCAGAAATTCCAGTTTTGACCAATCTAATCCCCTCTTGACAGCTCATCACCAGACTCATGAGAAAGGCTTCTAGCTTTTTGCTTCCTTGTTTGCATTGCTGCAATTTATCCACTCAGGAGGAGAGCCCAGCTCCCAGCCCTGCCAGCAGGTGTGGAAGTTCTCCCTCCTGTTGACCCCCACAGCTCTCAGCCTGGTTTGGCTGCTGGGAGGAACATCCCTTTGCCTTTGTCCCACTCCCTCCTCAGTCTGGCTGTAAATGGCCATTCTGGATGAGCCACTTGTTCATTTTTAGCAGCTGCAGCTCTTGGAGCACTGTTCCTACAGACTTGCTGTCCCAAGTGCTGCTTCTGGTGCTTTTGCATGTCTGCAAAGCCCTGGGAGGTGGGTGAGGTGCCCTCACCTTGCCCCCACTCCCATGCTCATCAAGAGCCCAGCTTGAGCACTCTTTGCATAGGCAGAGCTGCCCGTGCCCCTGTTGCCCCTCCTCTGCCCACGCTGGGAAATCTGTGCCTGTCTCAGTGTAGCCATATCAGATCCTCTCCTCTGCAGGAAAATGAATACAAGATGCTGCATGTGCAGGTCTGTGCCCCACTGGAGCTGGAGCAAGCCCACTACCCACCTTGGAACCCAGGACTCACAGCTATGGGAGGGAGAGTCCTTGTTACACAGAAAAATACATAAAATCTAATTTTTCTGTGAATCATTATAGTCTATTGTTCCCCGCTCCAGCATCGTCCTAAATACATTGCCATGATCTCCTACTTTGACATCTCCTGTAATAACAAATCTCCCATGGAGCTTTACATGCTGGGAAAAGTGGGATCTTAAAACTGCTGCCTGGAGTGTGTTTCATTTTGGAGAATTCCCACAGAAGAAACAAACCCTCCAGCGATGTACCCTGCAAACTTTCCAAGGAGCACGTTAAAGTTTGATTTATGTCACCGTCTTCCACTGAAAAATATTCTCAGGGTCTGCTTTCACAGTGGATTTATAGAAAAAAAATAAAATGAAAGAATGGTGTAAATCCTGATGAAGACATGAAAAAGGTGTCAGAGGAGCCAGTGACCTGGAGGCCAGATTCAAACAGAGAAGTGGTGGCAATGCTGGACTGACACTGCCAAGAGATGGGCTCCAAATCACTGTGAAATAAAGTGCAGCAGATAGGTAGAAACCAGATAGATAATCTTACCTTTAGATAGTGGAGAAAAATGACCTTAGATGTTACAAAATTTGGCTTTGTTTGAGCTAATAAAACTGAGTAGCCAAACAGCTTTGGTCATGTGAACGACGGCTCCACACAGAGCTGGACCTGCCCTAGTATGGAATTCATCTGTAATACACACTGATTTATTAGCATATAGCAGCACCTTACAGTACCTTGGTAAAAGCCAGACTGACTGTAAAGGCACATTTTTACATAGCTGATACATGTCCAAAATAAGAATGATTTTAACTTTCTGCTTTTTTGCCTTTTTTTTTCATTAATCTTTAATATACTTGAAAGGAATATTTAAAGCAATATGGATGATTTGTGTCTGTTACAGTTAAGGAATATAAATCCCTCTGACAGCATGCTGGGATCTGTCATCCTGTGTTGGTGCATGTGCTGAACACAATGTTTGCAGATACTTGTCCTGAAAGTTGGTAAATATCATGAGTTAAAGGCTGCAAATATAGGACATGAAAGGTCATCCAAGGACAGTTGCTTTGCTTAAAGCATCTTGGAAAAGAATGTCAAAGAAGTGGCATTCTGTAGGCCTTTCCAATGATCCTTGACTGTTTTCTCAGAGCATCAGCAAAAACTGGTTTTTGGGGGCAGAGCTTGTGCAGGTTTGTGGAGAACAGGCTATTAAATAGCCAGGGCTGGACCTGGACCAGCAGCACTTCCCTCCACATCCAGCAGCTGATTTTGTCATATCATCAAACTCCACAAGTGTTTTTTTGTTTGTTTTCTTTACTCTGACACTCTGTTTTACCCTCTGCTTTTTTTTTTTAACGTAGTAGCTCCCCCACGAGACCTTCAGATCACCGACCCTGGACTTTTGGGTCCTCTCGATATAGAGTGGAAACCTCCACCCGATGTACAAACCTCCAGTGAATGCACAGTAAAATACAAGTTTGAATATCGTAACACTGGTGATACGGACTGGAAGGTAAGAGTTAATCCTCCTAAATGCACCCTGTTGTTCTGCTTTCAGTTCCTGCACAGGTTTATTTATGTTTGCCTTTCAAGGAGGAGTGGTACCAAAACAGTTCCAGCTTTCCATGAAAAAGCCAGGCTGTTCCAGTGGTTTGAACCTTTTGCCAAACAGGAATGTGTTTTGAAATGTAACAGCAGCAGCATCCAGAGAAGGGGCTGTTTCTCTCAGAGGGCGGGGTGTTTGCTGCCCAAAATAATCCAATAACATCTAATATCATTCTTCATTGTAAAAGACATTACACTTTCTAAAACATCCTTACAGGGCTGGAATCAAAACTCAGTGTCAACAGATCCTTAGGGATGCAAAGTGGTGAATAAATAGAAGTTAAGTTTCATTAATTATCCTAATGTTCTAACATTCCCTTTACCCAAAAGGGAGTTTCCAATTACCATTTACCTTTGTTTTTCAGATACAGTTGACTCTAACTGAGCTCTACCATAAAATTGTCAGTCTTCTCACGTTGATGTGTAGTAGGGCAATGGCAGACAGGCACAGCACAGGAAGGGTTGTAGGAATATATTTGGGGAGTGCTTAGAAGATGAAAGCTGCTGCAGGGTTAGGAAGGTAAATGGAGTGGGGAGAGGAGAAACCCAGCAGGAGGCTGTTTGGTTGGCACAAGGTACTGAGGAACACATGAAAAATGTGGATGTGGATGTGCCCCAAGAACCCAAAACCCAGGTTGGTATCCTGAAAGGAAGAGGGGTTTTTTGCACAATCCTAAAGCAGGAATGCTAGAGGTCTTGCCAGCTCAAGAGACCAGGCAGAGAGGGGAGCAGTCAGTGGGCTCAGCAGAGCTGTGGAGCACAGCTTCTTGTTGGAATGGTTTCTGCATATCCTGCATGAACATCTGCTTCATCTGCCCAAGGCAGCAAAGCCAAGGCTGCCAGGCTGTGTTTGGCTACCACAGAAAAGGGTTTTGGCCCAGATATCCCATGGGAGCCTGCAGAAGTGGAAGATCCTGTGTCAGTTATGGATTGCAGTTGCGAAAGGTGCTCTTTGACCTGACATCGGTCATGATGCACCTCACACTCCCAGATGTGCAGCACTGTGAGTCTCTGCAGATTCTTCTGGGATGATTGGAACTGGGATGTAAAAGAAAAACAATGCAGTTTCAAAAAGCTCATCAGAATTCCCAAAATCACAAGTTATGAAAGTGTCTTATACAAGGCAGATCCACAGACTGGAAAAAAAAAATCACCTCTGGTACCTTGCCAAAACCTTGACCCCAGATGAGGTCATGAAGAAGAGTTAGCCTGAAAAAAAATGCATTGGACATCAGCAGAAGCAGATGTCATCAATGTCTGCTAGAAACCTGGTTCAACAGGTTCTTACCCTTGGGGACTGCTGGGCTGTGCCATCACAGTTCCTGCTGCAGCACACGGATGCATTTGATCCCATGTTACTTTGTCCTGCTTGGGCTAATGTGACACTTCCATCATTTGTTGCCCTTGTCAAATTAGTTTCCCTTGCATAAAGTAAAGGGGAGTAAGCTGAGGAAAAAAAAAATAGAATAACCTTCAAAAGAGGTGCTCAAAAATCCCCCAAAAGACAAAGCCCCATGGTACTCGGTGGTGAGCCTGTGCAGTGTCTGGCTGCTGGTCCATCTTTGTAAGGTGTGTTTGTGCTTTCCACAGGAACCAGCCACTACAAGACACATTGTTCCTTCTGTTTCTAATTATCTCAAGTCATGAACAAATGCTTTTTATCTGGATTAGTAGTGATGTCCTCATCAGATTGTCTCCAGTGCTCCTTGCTGCTGGGGATCCCTTTAAACAATCTGCTCCCTCTTGTCATTGCTGGTGTCCTGCGGGTGGAGGGATTGAAAGCCAGCAAGGCTGGGCACAGCAGGTGGTACAATAGTGCTGGAGAAGCCCCGGGAGAGTGAAGCAACTCAGAAATGTAAAGAGACATTGGAGGACACAAAGGAGCCTATTTGCAGCTACAGTGAGAGCAAGGGTAGCTAATTCTGCAGCCCATTTAGCAACAGAAGAGGTGCTTAAAAAGTCTGTCTTTCAACCAGGTTATTTTTACTAGGAGGCTAAAATTCAGAGTTGGATTTGACCTCAGCAGGACTGCTGAAGTGAAGGTGCAGACTCTGCTCGAAGGACGGTGTACCAATGGTGTGGAGGTGCAAAGTGACTGGATTTCTGCTACCTTTCAGGTCCCACTGCAAGGTTAGGAGCAGCCTGTGATACCTGGTGCAGTTTTGTGCTTTGCATGAGCCTATTGCATGAACCAATGCTGGCCTGAGGGTTGCTGGATGGGAAAGACATTGCAGGGCTTATTGAGGGATAAGACACCAGAGCATCTCTGCTTCCAATGGCTGTGGTTGAGGTTACTGGGTACCTGGGGATCATTTCCTGCTGTCTGCACCCCAGCTCTGCTCAGTTGCCCTGCAAGAGCTCCACTGCTGAATAACAAGGTCAGCTGAGCATCTTCCTGCTCTAGGATGAAATGGCCTTTATAAGCACTTGGCAGTAAAATTATCTAATAACGCTGACTGGCCTTTTTTTTGCTTTCTTTTCCTTTCTTTACCTTTCATTTGCTTTCTTTTCCTATCTTTTCCTTTCATTTACTTTTCTGTCTTTCAACTGTAGCACACAATTTTTCAAAGGCATAAAATGGTGCTTCTGCTCGGCCTGACTGGTACATTGCTGAACGACTGGTACATTATTTCCTTCTCATTCAACAGGAAAACTGGAATCACAGGTCCAGAATTTCCACTGCATCTATCATGACTGGGAATACCTCAAGTGCACTTGGCAGCCAGGTCTCCTCGCTCCTCGTGGAGCACATTATGGGTTATATTATTGGTATGTATCAGCAAACTAGAAAAATACCCAGGCAGCAATCCAGTGAAGCTCTCAGGGTACTAAAATGCCACAGTAAATATGCTTTTTATGGCTGGCAATACTATTGCCCAATCCACCCAGGATGAGCTGAAACAATGTCCCAAGCAACACGTGCCTTCTGGCAAGGGAATATACTCAATCCATGCTTACTTTCTTGAAATCAGGCTCATGCTGACCTTTGCCAGGTCACTTCCTCCTTTCCTTTTACTCACCCCCATGGAGTGTTTTCTGCATGTTGTCCACCACAAAGACTCGTGCTTTCCCTTTGCTGAACACACCTGGATTGTTCTGGCTGCACATTTCCCATGGTCACAGTGCACATATCTCTATAGGACAGGATTCAGCATGAGCTTACCAAGCTTCAGTGAACCCTAGAAAAAGAGTGGGGCTTCTTGGCCACTAAGAGTTCTGGTCTTCAAATATATTTTCATAGCACATCTCATACAGGCAAGCATGCTGCTGAAAGGTAATAAAAATGCATGTTTCTCAGCTGTTTCTTTTAAACTGCTGCCTAAATTCTGTCCTGCAGGAGGAACATAGCTAGAATTAGTGGTTTGGGACAAAGTGAATGCTGTATTTGGTCTTCATTTGCTATGATACTATGGGAAAGAGGACTAGTTAGTCTGGGTTTCGTGTCATTGGGCTATGTGTAGAAAGGCATAGCTGCATTTTAAAAAGAGCTTCCATGTCGATGTTGGAAATAGTCTTCAAAGCAGAAGCACTGACTTAAAAACATTTTGCTAACTGCAAAAGTCTGCTTGAGAAGAACCACGGAAATTCATGATTCATGCCTAAAAGGAAAACAAACACAAAACCTCTCAACCTTTATTTAATTGCTGTAACAAAACCAGACATTTGGATCTGGGACCCATTGTATAACAAGATCGGGTGGGAACCATGGCATCCTTTGATCCCTGTGAGCTAATTTTTATATTACTAGTGCATTTGGACTTGGCAGGGGACCCTTCTGACCAGAGTCAGTGGCTGATGGTGCAGAAGGGGTCCTACAGGAGGATGGCTGTCTCCATGAGCAGGGGCCAAATCCTTCCCCGGCTCCAGTCACAGTGTGGCACCTCGTAAAGCCTCCTGTGCTCCAGCAGTGGGCTTGGGGAGAGATTGACACGCCCTACAAACCAACCATTTGTGCATGTTAATTTGGTTTTTTCTCCTCCCCACACTTTTCCTGTAGTAGGAGTCCAGGTGGCTGATGTATGACACTGTGCTTCATACAGGCTGCAAACAGCAGGGCTTGAGGCTTAGGTCTGATTTAAAAAAAAAAAAAGAAAAAAAAAAAGAAAAGAAGGCGGCCCCTGTTTTGGTTACTTTCTGTTTTCCTACACACTGCTAGGTACGAGGGGCTGGACCAGGCAGCACAGTGTGATCACTACATCCAGGACCACGGCATGAACGTGGGCTGCACTCTGCGAAACCTGAGCCAGGCAGAATACCAGGATCTCAACATTTGTGTCAATGGTTCGGCAGCAGCCACCCCGCTCCGGCCACTGTACAGCACCCTGCGCCTCCACAACCTGGGTAATGAAAGCAGCAGGGCTCTGGGCACCCACACAGCCACCACACACCCCAGGCTCACACCTTGTGTGAGGGGGCTCCAACAGATGTGGGTGGGTGGCTGTAATGTGTCTGGGTGGATTTTCCCTCAGAGAAGGGGCTCTGGGGGACTTCAGTGTCCAGGAGTGTTTGCAGGTGAGCAACACCACTCAGTGCACACCCCAGAGGGTCAGAGGGTCCCTTCAAGTGCTGGGTTCAGCAGCTGGACTACTTGGGACATAAATGGCAGATGGCAGAGCAGCTATGGGGTTTTTGGCTCTAGCAGCACCATCACAGAAATATCTTCGTTTACTCCTGATGGAATTGAAACCACTGCTCTGCTCTTTGCAAGCACAGGGGAGCTCTTTAGGTGTTGCTGTTCAAACCAAGCTAAGGACTGGGAGGAACTGAGTGCAAGGTGTGATGGGGTCTGTCAGAGCAGAGGTGGATTTCAAACCCACCAGAGAGAGGGAAAGGAAGCAAAGCACAACATGATGTGCAAACCTTACATGTACTTGGTCTTTATTATGGGCTGATGCATTCACCCACATTCCAGAGAGATAAAGGGCTAGTCCTCCAGCTAAGCCATGGGCTAATGAGCAGGATTTCTGAAATCAATTAGTGCTGCCATGTGCTTCATATGTGGCTTTGGGCATTTGACATAAACCAGTCTTTCCTGGGATTCAGAGAGTGTCAGGCTAACACTGCTGTGGTGTGTCAGTGCAGGGGCCAAGGCCAAGGGAGGGCTGGCTGGCTGCAACATGAGGGGGGCATGCCAAGCACAGGGCTCACACCCCAGCGTTTCAAAACCCCTGCACTGCAGCTCAGAACAAGGACCTTGTCCAGCCTGTGTGCCAAGTCAAAATAAATAACACACCCTCCAGCCTCTGTGACATCCTGCTCCTCCAGCATCCTGGCTGAGAGCAAAGGGAGCTCAGAAATCCCATCAACAGGGGAAAAGGGACGGAGGGCGGTGGTGATTAACTGAAGCCTTTCCACCAGGAGCTGTCTGAGTGCACCTCTTGACCTTCTCTCTTTTTGTCCCCCCTTCCAGCCAAGCCTTCCCCCCCGAGGCAGCTGGTGGTGTCCGTGTCTGCAGCCGAGGAGCTGCTCGTGGCGTGGAGCCCCCCGGGCGGCCAAACACCGCCCCAGTGCCTGGAGTACGAGGTGGAGGTGGCAGAAGATCTGGAGGAGGCCAAGGCTGCCTGGGCGGTAGGGACAACACACACCGTGCCACGGGGAGGGGCAGGGGTGGGGGAGCCCTACTGACAGCAGTGGGGAGGCACCAGGCTGCAGGCAGCGTGTTGTCAGCTCCTCACTGCCCTGCTGGTGCTGCCTGAGGAACTCGATGACCCGCTGCTCCACTGCACATGTTCCCACTTAACCCCCTGACCTCCAGCTGCAACGTTTGCTTTAGCAGGAAGAGATCCCAGCAGGAGTCTCCCAGAGAGCACTTTCTCGGATCTCCTGCCTGTTATCTCAGAAAGCTGTCATCAAGGAAATTTAAAGGCTGTTGTGGTTTGTTCCCTTGATTATGATGGCACAGCTTGGTCCAATAAAACTATAATTTGAATTTCTCAGAAGAAGTGGCCTGGGACAGAACATACCTTTTATGCATGGTGGTTTTTTCCTTGTGCATTATTCAGGTGCAGTCTGGAGAGCAAAAATGAAAAGGACTAATTAATCATACGGGACAACTGAGGGACATTTTTTCTTTAATTGCCATATTCTACATATGAGTTTTCTTAGGTAATTGAAAGAAAGATTTCCTAAATTAACAGGCATAAATGGCAACATACATGATGGCATCCCCAGAAAGAGTTTGCAATATATTTGTCTTCATTATCATCTTGTTGGCATTAGCCGGTCCAAAACTGTTATGAAATTATTTAAAACTGCCAAAACATAATCCAAGGGTTTGCAGAGCCTGGACAGTATGTTCAGGAACATCAAGTCATGGCAGAGAGCTACTGGTGGTGGCACATAATTCCTTGACTATAATTCTCTGTGCTTTGTTTCTCAGCCTGTGTTGACCCAAATGGAGACTGCTTGCACAATCCCCAGAGCAAATCAAAGCCACGTTTCATGTGTTCGTGTCAGGGGCAGAACAAATATTTTTTGTGCTGACCAGGGCTTTTGGAGTGAATGGACACAGGAGTGTTTCTCTGGTATGGAACCCAAAGTAAAGTGTTTCTTTTACATCCTTTATAAAGCCTGTTTGGGACCAAGTGCTGATGACTGCCCTGGGTATCTGCTGGTGTCCAGCACTGGAGGTGGGATGCTGGCTTAGTTATACCCTCAACCTACTCCAGCACAGCCATTCCTACAGCTTTGCATCTCCAGGGCACTGGGCAGGCAAGCCTCAAAATATCAATGCTTCTGCTCCAGCAGCTTTCCCCAGGGAAGAGGCACATAGTGGTAACTACATATATACACAGGAAATAATTACCCTAAAGGAGTATGTTACCCTATACAGTACTATATACCTGGCATATATCTGTAATCAATAAATCAATAAATAAATATCAACATAGAGGGTAACAAATGTGGACACAGTGAGTTTGCATCTGAGTCCAGGCTTTGTAAGAGGTAATATAATCCATTCTAGCATTTCCTTATTTGCTGTCATTTATCTTTGCAGTGTCCAGAAAAGAGGACAAGCAGCTATTTATCCTCATTCCAGTCATTCTGAGTTTGTCAAGTAGCCTCATAATATTTATGTTGATTGGCCAGTGCAAGAAAAGGTAAGCACCAAGGCAGCCTCTCCAAGCAATGTGCTTTTTTGTGGGTGTCTAGAACTATTTATAGCTACAGTTATAAATGAAACAACATATTAAATGTCTAAGGGACAAACATTAATAGATGCTGTAAGACTGGACACCGAATAATAGTTTATTTTCAGTAAACAACCTTCCTAAGTGTGTCTGTTTCTGATATGAAATGCCTCCACAGCAACCCATAAACTCACAGCAGAGACTCAAACACTGCTCATAGGAGCCCCGACTGCTTCTGTTAAATGCAGCAGTTACTTGCATGCACAGCAGCATAAATAAAGCCATTATCATGCCCCAAACCACTCAAGAGCAGAGATTTGTACTAGCTGTGTTAGAGAAGTGCCATTTTAATGGCTAAAGCCTCATTCTCTATGCACTCCCATCCCAGTTGTTTGCATTCACATCAGTGATGGTGCATGGGGAAAGCAGATGCAGTGGATGAATTTGCCTGTATCCAAAGTATTGGTACTGGATACTTTCTTCATCCCCTGGGACTGATGATTATTATCTTTTCCTCGTGGCCATATAATGTAAGCAAGTGGGTAGCTTTTCTAACATACCTTTTAAGGCATCACTCATGAGGGAGAACTGGCTATAGAAATACTTCTGTGTGGTCCTCAGAGATCAGCTAACACCTATTTGGCAGTCAAATGCATCGAGTCTGACACACTCTCCTTAATCTTTGCTTTGCATCCTCCTTTCAAATGTTTTGGTGTGTGAAATTTGAAAAAAGTGTAGATGTTACTAAGAAATCTGTGGAAAGCAAATGCTTCCAGCATTGCCACTGGGATAGGACAGTGTCTGACAGGGATGCTGTAGCGTGTCCTCAGCTCTCTCAGTACTGGGAATAACAGTCTGTGTCCATTTCAGGTCCTCAGAAGGAAAACCATCAGAGGTGTCTGTGAGATGTTAACTGTGCTTGGGACTGCTGTACCACTTGTGTTGGATGGGCTGCTCCTGGCACATCATCCCAAGGGCAGCTGAGAAGCCCTGAGCTTTCCACAGCCCTCAGGGGTCTTCCCCACCTGCTGCCATTTGTGAAGCCGGTTGTTGCAATTCAAGCCCTTAACGGACCCAGGGAAACTGGAGGAGTTTTAAACTGACCCTGCAGGGAAACTGGAAGAGTTTTAAGCTGACTCTGAAGCAAGCTCTTTCTGGTAACCCGGCAAGGGAGAGAAAGGAGGCAGTAGAAACTGCTATGAATAAAGATAACACGTTGTTCTGTGGGTTTGTTTGGGTTTTTTCTTCTGTAAGGACTTTAGAAATCTGTCACCAGGACACACACACTGAAGGGCAGCACCTCACACACAATGCTATATGCATGCAAAACCTGCACCTAGCCACTGCACCCCACCTTGCTCTCACCACATCTTCCTAGTCCCAAATAGGGTGAGCCCTGCTGAGAGCATCTAAATTCTGAACGTGAGCTACTTCAGCTATTTATTTCATTAGCTGATATGCCTTATCTGCTGAAAAGCTGGAGTGGGGAGGCCTTGAGAGGAACTTCTGCTATAAAAAGGCACGATCACAGCTACTGCAAAGGGCAGATGCTTCAGAACAGTGAGGGTTAGTCCAGCAAATGAAATGTGGAGACTTCTGGGAAGTGGACATTCACCAGAATTCAATGAAGCAACCAAGGTGTTTCTCAACACCGTGTATTCAGCTGAGGAAATTGCTGACTGATTTTTAAGGAAACATTCCTTATGGTGATGATAGAATGATATGATAAATATTATATGATAGATATTATATGATAGATATTATATGATAGATATGATTCCATATGATGATGATAGAAAAAAAGAATCATCACTAGGTAAGATACTCTTTTCCAAGCCCATTCCAGGATTTTTGGTTGAAGAACTTACCAAGACAAGCACAGAGGTTTTGTGTGCTCTCATTTCATCTGAAAAACCCAGAAAACATATTTTCTTGCAGAAGCATTTATTCAAAATGGGAATTTCTAATGAGCAGTGGAAGCTCAGAGAGAAAATCAAGTTTGCGTCAATCAGCTACGTAAAGAGCCACACTAATCCAATCAGGCACAAAACATCACAGCAAGTGCTGCCTTACACATCCAACTGCAAAATTATTCAATCCCTATCAGCTGCTGCCACTGCTAAGTGGGCAACAGCCCAATGTCATTTGGGGAGCAACCAAAGAAGGAAAGAACCAATTAAAAAAAAAAATTCTGTACCCCTGGCCAGCTCAGGGCAAATATTTGGCTTTGACTCACTCTGGAGGACAGGCTGGGTGAGCCTCCCTGCAGAGACATGGGCCATCAGGCAGGACAGTCTCAGTAGGACCAAGCCTGGATCTCTGCAAGACCAGAGTTGCAAAGAGAATTGCTCAGCCAAGCCCATTCTAGGGGTTTGGGTACTTTCAGGAGGAATTTGGCACATCCAGAATGGGGTAGAATTTGGGTTATGGGTTTTCAGAACCTCTGATGTTCTGCCAGCTTCTTAATGGTTGAAATGTCTACTAAAACCACTGTGAGTGTCCCCAAGACGAAAAGTAGGGCAGGCAGCTCCACACAGTTGTCCTGGGCACACCTGGTGGGATCTCACCTACTTCACCAGGTGGCAAGGCTGGGCATAGGCATTTAGAGTTGGACAAATGCTGCAGCAGCCCCAACCTGCTGCGTGGGTTTAAGCTGGGTTACAGTTTCGAGTCCAATTTTGCCCAAAAAATAAGTAAGAAGGGAAGAATTAAATCTCACAGATGCAAGCAAGAGATGGCAAAGGAATGGATGTTGTCCCTCCACAGCTAGAACTCACCTCAGAGAAGATCAGAGCTATTTCAGTAACCACAAAATATAAAAGTTAGGCTGAAGGCTGCCTAGAAACCTGCCTAGTAACAGAGTGATAAATTAAGTACATCTGCTTATGGTATCTGTACGCAGCAGCTTTACTGGAGTGTTTAGGGAAGGAAAGCTGGGCTTGGCCCTGGTGCAGGGCTCCCTGCTCCCCAAACTCATCCCTGCAGAGGGTCCTCACTGCAGCAGCAGTAAAACACCCCCACTCATTTTCTCACAGCGCCATGTTTGCAGCATCTGCAAAATTTGATCCTAATAGGTGTCCAACAGTCTTCCTAACGTCCTGAACCTCACTAGAATTTCAGTAGGACGGGTTTTTCCTCCCTGTGTTTGTAGCATTAACACTGATTATGTATTTCTCTCACACAGCAGTCTCATTACAGTGTTTTAGTTCATTTGCTTTAGTCCATAATTAATATTTTTTGTAAAGCACTTTTAAAATCCCTCTTTTGACATGCTCTGCTCTTATTGTTCCCAGCGCATGTCTGGATTCCACATTTTGTCACTGTCAGAGCTCCACATGTCTGGTGGGGCATGCCTTTGTCTTTGCATACCCTTGAGTTTAGGGCCTGTCTTTGACTGATAAAGTCTTAGAGCCATTTGCTGAAGAATAAAAACAACTTTTCCTATGGAGCTTTTTTATCCCCAGAGAATGTCAATACTTGTCAAACATATGAAAACACAATGCTGTGCATGCTGGAGGGAAATGCAAAATCAATTTAGTCTGTCATAGTCTAACTGCTTTTGGGAAGTAGAAAAATGGGGAAGATGAATGCCAAGGTCTCTCAACTCAAAAATCACCCTCCTTCTCTCACTAAGGTATATTTTCAAGATGACAGTAAGAGAATAATTTGAAAACTAGTTTATCATCTGTTTCCTCATATCCATCCTCATATTTTTTGTCCTTTTTTTTGGGTGGCCTCTGAATAAAAGTGTTTCAACCACTAGAACCTGCCAATGGCTGAAAGACAAAGCAAGGCTGGCATCTTGCTTTACAAGAGCACAGGAACACAGGAAGTTCCATCTGAACGTGAGGAGAAACTTCTTCACTATGAGGGTGGCAGAGCTCTGGAACAGGCTGCTCAGAGAGGTTGTGGAGTCTCCTCTGGAGATATGCAAATCCATCTGGCACAATCCTGGGTAATGTGTGCTTGGGGACCCCGCTTGAGCAGGGAGGTTGGACTAGATGAGCTCCAGCGTTCCCTTCCAACCTTACCCATCCTGTGATCCCTCAGGAACTCTTTACTCCTCTTGCGCTCGAGGAAATCAAAAGGTGGAAGTTGTATCTCACTGGCTGAGGCATCTCTGCTCCCTGCTGAAATTTCCCGTCTCCTACAGGCGCCTGGAGCTCCATGGCCACTGGGTGTCAGCATCTGTGCTTGGACGCAGAGGAGGAGGAGGAAAGCAGGTGCAGCATCGGTGCCGCCAGAACTCAGCGCTTAGTGCACGAAAGTAAAACAGAGGGGATAATGGCTCTGTCACCGCCAGAAAGAGGAGTCTTGTTCCTTTTGTGTTGCTAAGTGGAGAAGTGTCACACCTTTGTTCCATCATCCAGCTCTGGGCTGATTGCCAGGTAACATCACCTTGTGCCTCGTGGCACCCTGACCATGGCCCAGCGCTGCTGCTCTGACCAGAGCTGTGTCAACCAGGGCATGTGCCAACCAAAACCAGCCCCTGCCTCTCCCCCCACGCTCATGCCACTGAGCACCCCCAGAAATATCACACCAGCTCAAACTGGAGGCCCTGCTGGGTGTCCCTGCCTCACTCTGGCACCAGCTCCTGCACCCTCACAGTGTCTCACTGCAGAGCCAAGGCTGCCCAGGGAGCCTGGGATAGGGGCTGTGCCACCAAGAGGTCCCCACTTGATACATGAAGCCCACGAGAATAGTCCTTGCCTTTTAAATGATGATGTTCCAGCTGTTAACTGTTGAACTGGAAATATGTCCCAGCCTTTGGGACTCTCAAATTGATCATGGCTGCCCAGAAGTTTGTGCCCCTCATGCCAATTTATTTAGAAACGCTCATGCTAAGAAAACAATAACTCTGTTGCCTGCCAGGTTCAGGAGAGTCCACTTTTAACAACAGAGAGCTTAAAAGGCCAACAGCACAATTTATTTTACTGAAGCAAGAGCATGAAGTTTCCAGCTATAGCAACAAAGAAAAGCATTAAAAACATAAGACAGTGCAAGCACAAAGCAGGCTCAGTCCTGAAAGCTGCTCACCAGTGTTTTCTCAACAACATCAGATAATGGCAGCCCCAGCAAGGGCATTTCCTCAACACTGTGGTTCTCCAGAGCACAGGAAAATGCTGTTGCAGGTAAATAAAACATACTTACAGGACTGCATGCAGTCAGGCTTGGACTGACCAAGCTGGTTGATTCTGGATGCTTCCACGAATGCAAGTGAAATATTGCTTCATACAACTGGGGGCTGGGAACACACAGCCTTCACGATCCCTCGGCTTCACGTTGTCCTGTTCGTGGGAGATGCACTGACTTGACATGGCCTCGCCTGCCTTCCTCCAAAATTGTGTTGTCATTTTTCATGGCTTTGCCAGGACTTATGGAAGGACCATAACCTAAAAATAGTGTTCTTGCTTCCAGATGTTTTTTTTCCTCCCACACTGGGATGTGTCACTGGGCAGGTCCTGCTGTGCAGATGCCTGAGCTCTGCCAAATGGGAGGCTGAGGACAAAAAAGGGCTGAGCTGGGCCCTCCTGCTGTACCTCTAGAGCATAAATTCCTGTGTGAATGCAACACCTGAGCCCTCAATAAGCTTTTCAGTTGCTGTTACTGCTGCCTCAGCAGGAAGTGCAGTCCCAAACCTGGAATACCCCGCTCGTTAGAAACATGCTTTTAATTCCTACCTTATTTCTACCCTCTCTGTATACCAGTGTTTACCTCTGGCCTAAATAACTTGTCCCTCCTTATCCAGAACAAGCACTCCCTGTTATCCTGATGCAGAGCTTACTTTGCCCCTCTTTAGCTGCTGGAAGGAACAAGCCAAGCTTTCTGCTCCTCATTAACAGGGCTCTCTCTGCCCCTGCCTTGACTTGTGTCCCCACACTGTGCCTGTCACCAGGGCTACTGCTCAGGCCCAGCACACACTCCCACCTATTTTTTTAAAGCAGAAATGCCAACTAACTACAGAGCAACAGGTAATCACATTAATTTACCCTCCAGGAGTAAAGTTCTGGGAAAAACCACCATTTGCTGAGCACAGTGTGCTGCGTCACCCTCGGTGGGGCACAGGGGGACTAACTCATCCCAGCACTTTGCTGACTGCCACCACAGGACACACTGGGGGAGGATGCAGGCAGTTTTCTCTTCAGCAACACCTAGAGAAGGTGCAAGAGAAAAAATGGTCACTTGGGGGTCAGCCCACCTGTGTGCCAGCCGTGTGGCTGAGCTGCAAAAAGAAGGGGGAGGAGTACTTAGGTGAGGGGACGAAACCTTGCCATGGCTTCATGGGTGAGACACTGCAATCCATGGATCCTCTCTGAAGACATTTTGGGACATGTGCCTGTAGGGAAGGAACCTCCAGCACAGCTGAGATCTCTGCTGGGCATTTGCACTTACCTGTTGCTTTCAGCAGTGTCATGATCTTCAGGAAGTGCAGGCCCAAAAGGAGGGGCACTGAAGTCTTCCTCCCCAAAATGTCACAGAAGAGCTGTTCTAGCTGCCAGTCAGGGAAAAGGACCCTGATTAAAAGCTTCAGTGTCTTTGATGAGCATCTGTCACTGGCATCCACTGGTCCTTCTGCAGGAGAGACAGGGACATCAGCAGCACACACAGACATAAAGCTGCTCTAAGTTTTAACAAATGCAACCATGCAGTGGTCTAAGAGGCACTAGTTTACACTAGTATAAATTGGATAATTTGGTTGCATTTTAATTAAAAATTAATTTCTCCAATTTATACAATTCAAGCACAGGGAAGTTCAGAACAGTGGATTTAACATGCTTCTGTGTGGTGCTACACGATTCATTTTTCAGGTCACCTAGCCCCCAAGTGTTGGTACCCACTCAAGTCACAAAGCAGCAGCTGTCATCCCAGGACACTTCTGGGGAAATTGCATTTATCTGCTAAGAGATCTTTTGGCTTTTTGGGAAGCAGAACATAAGACGACATTCATGAGGGATGTAATTGCTCCACAGTCTCGATTTTCCACAATAATTTATCATCCATTGGCTGCATAATTCTCTTGCTGTCATCACCCCAGAGCAACCAGAGTTACTGGACCTGTGTCACCACTACATGCTTACTCACTTGCCAGGTCCCCTACAGATCCTTGAAGCTGTGGCCCAGGAGGACAGGCTCTTACAACCTTTTCTGTGGTTGTAGTGCTCAGCAAAGGGTGAATCCCACTGGGCATAGTGCCGGGACATGCTGTGCCAGGTCCTAAAACAAGCACTTTCTTGGAGGGATTATGAAGGAGGGCTGCCCAGAGCGGAAACCCTGCTGCTGCCAGACTCCCTCCCCATGACACACCCTCCTGCTGTCAGCAGAACCTATGATTTAGGACAGTTTTAAGGAAAATATTTCTGTGTGTAGCTCACGCACTTGACCGTTTGTCAAAGATGTTGTGGTTTGGTTCTTCAGTCAGTGAGTGTGCCTCACTGCATCGATTGTCTGTCTCATACAGATCTAAAATCCCTCACCTGAAGACGCTCCATCTCCATGTTGTTTTGGGATTGCAGCCTCCCTGCACAGCCGAGAGGGAATGACACATCACTTAGATATTTTGCCGACTTCTGACAGCCTCATAGCACAGGATTCAGTTGTGGGTAAAAGAAAACATGCAGAAGACCTGAGACTTAAAGAAAAAATGATGGAGAGACAGAAGAGTCAATAACAACTTCATGGTTAAAAATGAAAAAACAAAACCATTTTTTGATACCTACACTCACCCACGCTAGAACAGCCCACGTTTCACAGTGACACTTACCACCACATTTGATCTCCCCATTACAGGTTTTCTCCCCAGCTTTTCAGCCACTCCCATCTTTTCAAGGGAAGACTAGAGTGTGGTGACATCTCCTGTGGCTCTCTGGGGTTTCTGGGATGTGTGTTCATGTGCACAGATGTGTACATATATCTCATCTGCCCATCTCTGTCCTTCTGCTGCACCTGCCCAAGGCTTGGCAGTCTTTGCCTGATTTTCCCAGGAAAAAGCTTCTGATGCCTTTTCCACCCCAGTCTGAAATGGAGACAAAGCCAAGTGCAGTTCTTGGCATGCAGCTATCCTAATGATACTGTGACACAGGGAGGAAACCCATCCAAGAGACATCTGCTCATTTATCACATGACGGGCACTGCTTTTGGAACACCAGATTAGCATAATTTGTCTGCCACAGTATCAGACACTCTTCAGCAGCTCAAAGTTAAACAATATTTCTGCATAGCTCCATGGGTTTGCTATTTTTTCTTTAAAGTATGTTTCTCCTTTGGAATTTGGGTTTCCATATCCAGGACCCTCATGACTCCAGCACATTAGATGCTGACTGGGAAGGGAAGAGCATTGGGCACAGTTCACACCAGCGAGGAAAATCTCTGCGGGGCTCTCCAGAAGAAAGGCACTAATGATTAACATGAGTGTCTCTGTAGAGAAAACAGCATGAACCACACTGTTCACACTGACTACTCACACATCATCTAACATTTACCTCTTCAAATTATCACTCAGATAAAAACTACTGCAGACTCACAGTCATTATGACAATAGAGAGCCATGCTGAGGTGGGATGCCTCGAGGCTCCTCAGCATTGGCTCTGAATCATATTCCCTCCCAGATGCTACAGCCTCTGGGTAGCTGCTCTTATCTTCAGCAAGCACAGAACTGAAGGAGAGGCCTTCTTCTCAAAGCACAGTCTCTGAGGCATGCAGAGCTCCCCAAAGCCACCACAGCTGACCCCATGGGTGCTACACCCCAGACTGGCTGTGTGGGGCAACAGGTCACAGATATGGATGAGCCAGCTCAAGCCTAGAAACCAGGTTGCCCAGCCACAAGGCTTTGTGCCTGACTACATGGCCAGCCTTGATTCTGACCTCTAGTGGGGAAGCCCCTACAGCCCAGGAAGCTGCTGGTTCTGTCCTGGGCTGCCCCCAAGAGCAGACTGCCTGATGCCAGTGAAACAAGGGGGTGTGTTTGCTGGGTGGGAGCCTCTGTGTGTGTGCTGTCCCACGGGCAGCCTGCCTGCACAGCTCCATCTGGTTTGGGAAACAAAGCAAACAACACAGCCCACGGCACCATTTCCAAGGAATTGTTGTCACTTGCTCAGTCCAAACTCAAAACAAAACATCACCACCCACACTATTTGTAAGACAGAACCATACCTGAGCTCAGATTTGAGGACACACAAAACTTCCAGCAGGTACTCACGTCAGACAGCCCCAGGCAGGGTTTCTGGAGGCACCTCAAGGTTAATGGCTACATCTCAGGAGAAGCAAAACTGCTGTGGGGACAACCTGACTTTGGTTAAGTTTCAGAGAACTAAATCAATTCTTCAAATTGACATAATTTAAAAAATGTCATTTTCAAGGGTTATTCCCAGAGGGAGCCATTTGAAGAGGGGGAATAGTCTATCACCACTTTTGTATTTATCAAGTTTTGGGGTTGGAAATGTTGGGATATCTGCTGACAGTGATTTCTGAGATTCAGCATCTGTGGGCCATACTTCAGGTGTACATCCTTATCCTTGTTTTTTGTTGCTCGTTTGTTTTTTTGGTGAGGACATATTTTAATTGGGGACAGAGGAAAGAAAGAGAGGGCACATTCGTTTATTTATTTTCTGATAGACCATGGAGAAAAAAAAATTAAGAATGATTAAACCAACAAACTTTCTTTAATAAATTAATAGCAGCATCACAAAACCCTGATGTGAATGACCCAAAGAAAGTTGGGTACGTGACAGTATATAAACATTCACAAAAATGTTGTCACCCACTGGCTGGGAGAGAACACGAGGCGCTGTCAGGCAGCACCCTTGGCTGTTCATCCAAACAAGGGCTGTACATCAGAATGGGTCCAGCTGTGTTGACATATTTACAGTTCTGGTGCTGAATTTTTTAAAAACATTTATAAAAATTCTGAAAATTCTCTGTTCAGTTCCCATTTTTTGCATCCAAATATAGCAGGTTCCCTTTTTTGCCCATACAACAGAACCGACAAGGGTAAGACATGAAGGCTCCTATGCAAAGACAAGGCCTGTGTGTAGACTTATACTGAGCTCAGGGATGCTGTGAAAATGAGTTATTCACTCATTATTTACACATGCTAGAAGCTACTGTAATTCAACTTATTGCTAAATGCTTTCAAAGTCTGTGGTTGGCTCTTAAATATATATATATGTGTATATATATAAGTACAAACTCAACATATATATACATACACACATATACATGTTTGGAAAAGGTGTGCTATAAATTCACTAAAGGAAAAAAAATCCCAACTTAAAAAGCAATGTGATGGTTCTGATTTTTCTGTACTGTTTGAGATAATGAAATCTGACTCAGGGTAAAGAGAAGTCACTGAAGGACCAAGTTTGTGCCTCTGGCCAGTCCTTTTCCTACTGATTACCTGATGTTTTTGGAGAGGCAAGCAGACTCCAGAGCATTCAACCCATGCTGGTATCTGCAGGCTGGCACATGGAGCATCTCTGCTGTCTTCTTCAAGCAGCAGAGGCTTAGGATACCTCTGCACTGGGATACCTTGTCTGCCTGCATGGAAGTACTACGGATTATTCCCAGGAGGGGATGAGGGAGAAAAGAGGACCATCTTCAACCCATCAGTCTGGGGTCAAGCCAGCAGCAGAGACAGCTCCTGTGTTATGTTTTAGTAGTGGCCTCAGCAAGGTTGTTGCTGCACACAGCAGTGCAACAGCAGTTACCTAAAGCATTAGCAGAATTTTCTGTTTCTTCTAGAAGGTAATTTTAATGGAATGAACACAGCAAGCTTAGAGTACAAGCAATTCATGTTAATAAAATGCGATTTAACCATGCCCAGTGTAATGTTCTCTGTTCTGATGATTATCATAGCCAGAGGCTGTCAGTGATGCTAAATGCATCCATGTTAGATGGGCACTGCAGCATCTGTGTAGTAGTTAATGAAGATATAAAAACCTTATGGGTGATATCTGGCATTAGACAATACTCCACACAAGGAAA